AAGAAACTCATAACAAATCAACCTAACAAAAGGAAGGAAAAAAAGAAAAAAAAAACTATTAAAATAGAAAGTAGGCACATGGACATTTAATGTATTAGTAATTCTAAAATGTGAAAATGGGTATAGTCTTCAATTAAAATACAGGAATTTCCAGAAAGAGAAATTTAATCATCCTTGTTTTGTTTTTGTTTAAAGAGCATGCTTAAGTTATGAAGGCATGATTTAAACATCATAAACATAAATTCCTATAATCAGTAAGTACTATTCAAAATGATACTGGTGTCACAATTATTTCTATTCCCTGTTGATTGAATCCAGGGCTTAGCGCATGTCAGGCAAGAAAATGACTTCTAGGTTGTCACCTCACTTATGGGACTAATATTTTATTATCCAAAAAAAAACCTCTAATGCAAAAAAATAAATAAATAAAGGTTCGCTGAATACGTATAAACAGTAACAAATTAAATCTATCCAGAAAAAAAAAAAGTTATTCTTAATTTGTAAGGAATGAACAACCAGCTGAAAACGCACATATCAAAAATCTAACTGAATAATGAAAAAATTTAATAGTTCACTATTAAAATGGATTTTAAAAAATACCTTTTTAAAAAGGTAATTAGAGACAATCTAATTCATTAAGCTTTCAATGAAACATCAAGAGGGACAAGTTTGATTAAATGAATATTCATTGAACACCAAAACTTAGGTTTAGCTACACATAGAAGCTTTAAAAGTGATTCTCTTCCCGTATTATATATTCACTGACATTTTAGTTCAGGTAAGTAATCTTATCAGAATGCAATAATTATCAAAGTCTGTAAAAGAAGAATAGCAAAATGAAAGTGTAAAAGCCATTTTTAGTGAGGCATGGTGGTGCCTATTTATAATCCTCACACTTAGGACGCTGAGGCAGAAGAATTGCCAGGAGTTAGACACCTTTTTGGAAATGACGGACTACTTAGAATAAATACTGCTGACATGACTAGAGAACAGAACTGCAAGAATTATTTCAAACAAGTGTCACATCCAAATCTTGTATTTCAAAGGAAGAATGCTAAAAATATATTGTAGCTTTAGCTTTCAACTTAATAATTAACGATCAAAACAGATTGAAATAGTGGAAAACATAATGGCAAGGGTAGAAATTAATGTAAATTTAAAGAGTAGTGAAGGTAGAAAGTATGCTTCCCTGAAAAATGAGGCATAACGGCGGGGGAAGAGGGACTAAAAGGACATGTTGTTGGGAAAAAGGAAGAAGAAAGGTACGAGTAAGAATAGAATTGCCTTCTGCTGCATGTGGTCATTATGTATATCTGGAAGGCCAAGAGTGAGCCTGTCTGTCTCCCTGAGTGCTGCTGCAAAAGCAGAGGAGTGGGACCCTAGTTCCATTAGTAAAAGCTTAAATTATCACAAATGATATCATGTACTACTGTTTGCAAATATTCTGAAAAACTTACAAGAAATGAAAAAAAAAATCTTGTTCAAGTACTGACTTCAAAAGAAATGGAAAAATCTTCATAGCCTTTAAGTTGTTAGATAATTTTAAATACTTATTAAAAGTTTTCCTAACAAAGAGTAGCCACATTGCTTTTACACCCTAATTAAATTTTAAAATAAATATTTCCATGCAATAGAAAAATCAAGAAGATTACTTTTATCTATTTTGAGTTCTGTATAATTTCCTTCAGTATTGAAATAAGCAAGTACAATTCAAGTAAACAATTCAAGGTCTACTACCATAAGTCTTAAGAATGATATTGTTCTTCTAAATGATAGGAAATCAAACTTCTAATTAATAATTCAATCACCAATACTAATAATTACTCAGTTGTAATTCAATATTGTTTCTTTTTTAAAAATATCAATTTTGTTAATATTTGTTCATATTCTAGATTACCCTGCATGTTTGACTTGCCAGTCTTGACAATTCTGAGGTTTATTAAGCCTAGTGCAATGATTTAGAGGTACGATGTAGAATACTGAAGTTTCAAAATCTAAGGCTTGGGGCCTGGGAGATAGCTCAGTTCAATAAGTGCTTGCCTGACAAGTGCAAGGTACTGAGTTCAATCCCTGGTACCACAATAGATAAATGAATGAATAAATAAATAAGTAAGGTTTAAAATTTACATGATGACAGGGCAAAGGCAAAATCCTTAGCTGATATGGAGATCTCCAAATTCCATGCCCAGTTTGCCTGTCATTCTCATTTTGCACCAAACCCCAAGGCACACTTAATTAATGGCAATTTTTTTATTTCTTGTTTGCCGAGCATATTTTTCTTATGAATGCTGAATATTTGTGTCAAACTTTTCTCCCTCATCTCATGATAGACTTTCATCACATAGTTCACAATCTACTTTCCCTGAGTCACTTTACAACACTCTGCATCTACTTTAAAATTTTTATGAATGATTGTGTAGCTTGGTGGGTGCCTTATCCTTATTTATGCAAGAGGAAGTACATTCCTGAAACCCACAAGGCAGTATTGCTCCTCTTTACCTTTCCAAAAATGCTTAATCTTTTGGAGTCAATATATGGCAGTTTCAGTAAAAATCTGCAAAAAAAAACAAAACAAAACGAATGTAGGCACATATTCCTGAGGTAAGTACACTTGTGAATTTAACACACTCACACACACACACACACACACACACACACAATGTTTTACTAACTGTAGCTCTATTCATATGGAACAATTTAGTATTCCAAACCTTTGATACCCAAAGTGATATTCTGCCGGTTATGCATCTCCTAGAAACTTGTTATACACAGAATATCTGACCATATTTTTTCTAAAGAGCTGCAAGTTTTTTTAGATACTTTTTCTATGCCAATGTGATAATAGTAACTTTAATAGTGAAAGAATTATCATGTACTGTCCAAGTAAAGGATATTAATGACTACTGTAAATAAATAATACAGTGGCACAATGTCAGTCTCATTTTCATAAATTCAAAGTAAGTTATGATATCAGAAGGGAAATACAGTCATTCATTTATTATAGCACCAAGGTTGATACCTAGTTGAAAAAGCTTTGCAATAGAACTACATGTTTGAATTAGAAAATTGCCCGGTCACTCTAGTAGTAAGCTCTCCGTTACTAGTATAAATGATATGCCTAGATTCTTTCATTATAGAAAAAAAAAAGACATTAGAAAAAATATGAACCCACTTACTTCACAGCTGCTATTTGATCCTTTGCTTCTACTGAACCTAAGCTTCGGTGAATTTCCTGTAAAATTTTTAGGCCCTGGAATCCACTTCCTCTGCCATCAAATCTTGCTACAATAACATTATCCGTGTCAACAAGCACTGAATCCCAGTCAATATGGAACTTCTCTGAAACCAGCTGGCCTCCCGGTTCTTCGTCCCTGCAAATGTCAATAAATAGAATAGGTGACAAGCTAGTACATGTTTTAGATTTCATATGTCGCGGTCAGCGAACATTGAAAAGAGCGTATGTGTTGACTTTTTAGCTTTTTTGTTAATTCTGCATGATTAAACATACTGTTACGTAAAATTGTAAATGAAAAGTTCCTGAACAAAATAAAAATATGTCTTAAAACTGTGTAGTAGAATTTAGTATAACTCATTTTTCGAAGGGGAAATATGCAGATACATGATGTGCTCCGTAGATATTTCTAAAGAATGACTGTTAATAGGTCTATAATGGATTTCTCGAGCATGTATGAAAATTGTCTCACAGATGGCTTCTCAGGGTTGAAGGATCTCATGGAGAGCAATTCTAATTATGGAAACCTGGTAATAATTTAACAGGAAATGTACACCCTAAAATGTTGAACTAAAGGACTAATATTGCATTAATATCTTTTCAGGACTTTTTTTCTATCATGTTAGTATTCACATTGAGCTTTTAAGGAAAAAGTGAGCAAATTATATCTGAGTTGTCTAGTTGATGAAACCCCAGACAAACAAGTTTGAAAAATTTGAAAGCTAGTTGTAAAGAAGGATACAAAATTATAAAACATGAACTTTCCAGAAGGGAAAAAAATCATGGAACAATTTTAAAGTGTCACAATTAAATGATGTTTACCTTTTTCTTAGAAAAAGGAAAGACTAAAAACAATAAACATACAAAATCACACAGATATTCTAGGTGCAAACTTAGTACAGTTTGAATGCATGTGATAAATATGAAGAGTATGAAAGGACCCTACTTGAAAATGCTTTCCATTGTGAGGGAAGTGGCAGCCCAGAGGTCCCCATCTGCCCATTCTTCAAGGTACAGGCACAAGCTTCTTCAGTCTTCAAGTTTACGAACACGTTTACCTGTGTAGGCTACATAGATGGCTGTCCTTGAAAGAAGATCCTTGGCCATACATCCCTGTATGAATATGTACAGACCTGGCTGGGACATTTCCTTATCCCCTAAGTTGGCTTTAAGCAGTGTGAATGAAGGTGCTGCTGTGTAGACTTAGAAGGAATGGGGCAGGTCACTGATTTCCCCCCTACAGCTCCCAAGCAACGTGAGTGAGCCAGGCAAGTGATGCCATGCTGCTGGCTGAGAATGAGCCTCGAGAAAGGAGGCTATGACTGCTCAGGACATGGCTTACACGTCAAACTGAGTCACCCGTCCATAACGCTAGACACTGCTCCACTCTGTGGTGTGCGGATTACCTTTTGCGCATGTCTCTCTCCACATACTGCAGAGCTGATTTCAGGCTCCTCCTAGCTCAGCTCGCAGCGCTCATGTACTTCCACCACGCTCACAGGTGTTCATCCCCGAGCCGCGTCCCCCTTCACAAATTACTAAAACCTGGTTTAGCTCTGGGTTGAACTCTTTATTCTGGTTAGCCATCCTTCTAGCTGGACTTACGAGCCCCTGGGCTCCCCCTAACTATAAACATGCCTAAGTGTCTTTATTCTCACCATGTGTTGCACTGGAAGTGGTAGAGTTCATATCAACTCACTAGAATTAGATTTTTCCGTGGGATTGCAAATACGGACTGTTGTGTGCCACGGCAAGGTCCAGAAGGGGTTCCTATATTTATTTAGAGGCACCGATGCACAAACCAGACCTCATTAGGAAGCGTTTAAATGACAAGATTTCCTAAAATAAATAACAAACCTCTGCAACAAGTAGAAATAATGAGATATAAAAGTTACACAGACCTCCTTAATTAGGCAAAGGAGGACGTAGGCAATAGAGAAAATCTTTGAACAGTTGTTATTGAATGATGCCAGGGGCTGCACTGTGCTCCCACAAGCTTCATATGACGGATCCCTTGCACTCCCTACATCAGAACCTGATTTGTTTAGAGATGGGAGTTTAAAACAAACAAGAAGATAAAGTGAATCTAATGAGGTGAATTCTGATCATAGCTGAAAGGTGTGCTTGTAAAAAGTGGAAGTTTGGACCTACAGGAGGCCGCAGAATTGCACATGAATAGATAACATCTATACAGAGGAGTGAGGAGAGGGTGACCCTCAGAAGGCCAAGGCGGAGGCTTCAGAGGAATCCAGACATACTGGAACCTTTACCTTACATTCCAGCCTCCAGAACTTTGAAGAGAAAATTAATTCCTCTAGTTTAATGAAACATACCCACCAAGCAGTGTTTAGCCTGACAGTCATATCAAACTAAGAGAGAAGTATTCTGTGGTTTAAGCATTTAAGATCAGTTATCTTATTTACTCTATCCTACCAAAATTCAATTTTCCTTTTGAGGAGAAGGGGTTGTTCATAATGAAGCTTGTTACATTTGTTATAATTAAACAATATAAATGAACTATTCCCAGAAGCCACTTAATCAGGACTCCTTTTCTGTCTTTCTTAAATCTAACTGTGATCTCTGCTTAGTTTAGATTCACTCTAGATCAGCCTTTTCTTTTTGCAGTTTACAGCCTTAGCCTTAAAATGTTTACATTTCATCTTTATTTTATTTTTTATGTATTTGGTACAGGATCTTGCTAAACAGCTCAGACTCATAGTGATTCTCCTTTTTTCAGGCTTCTGAGCTCTGGGGTTACAGGCATGTGCCACCACAACCGGTTTCAGTGGCTCAGTGTGCACAGGGTTCTGAGGCCTGCGTGGCATGTGGTACTGAGGATCAAACCCAGGTCCCTGTTTTTGCCAGGAAGCTTGAGCTGTCTCCCAGGTACTTTATCATTATTTTAAATTCTTTTTCAATCTTATTTCTTGATCAGAAAATTGAGACTTAGTTACTCTGTATGTCCATGTGTTCTAAGGTAGAATTTTAATTGCCTCATTAAGAATGAAGGCTGTTTCTTCTCATTTCTCCAGGTAGAACTGACATTGCTTATCTAATGCAAGAACTATCATGAATCATGGTTCTCCCAGACTTTCTGGGGCATGCAAGACATGGCCAATGACTATGGAACTAGACCCTTTGTGAGAAATTAGACTCAGAACAAACTAACCATGGAAAATTCTTAGGCTTTAGCTAAAGATACTATACTTTGAAGGTTGAGGATTTACTGCAAATATTATAACTTATAGAGGACAAAATACAAAAGATTACCTCTATGCTGTAACGTTAAACCATAGAGTACCAAAGTTAGAGTGCTATCTTCATTCTGAGCAGAGGCAAGAAATGAGTTCTGAAACTCAGGTTGCTTATCCTTAGTAGTGCTTATAGTAAACTGTGTCACTAAGGACATTTTGGTCAGCATTATTGGCATAGTATAGTTGAAGATACTTAATTAAATATAATAAGCAAAACAGCTATTAAATTTGCAAAACAATAAATACTTCTACTCCTTTATATCAAGTTTAGACACATTTCTTTAGAGTTCAAAGTAGAATGGAGGAGTATCTAAAGAATTTCTTCTAGACGTGCAAGACTTAAACTGGTCAATGTCTTCAGATAAAACACAATTTTTATGTTGTATGAGCAATTATATCAGAGGGACTCCAATTTCTAGTTAGACCAATGGAATCAGAGTCTTTCAGAGAGGTTAACAGCATGATAAATAGATACCACAGTGTGCTTAGCAGACTGTTAGCTTCTTTTATATTAAAGAAAAACAAAAAAACAATAAAAACTGTACAGACTTTCAAAACAAGATGATTAACAATGGCTAATACATTATATAATGCTATCGTCAAAGTAGTTTGTTCAGATTACCAGTTATAAGCATGCAAAATTGGTCAAGCAATTAGTCATTAATTTTCCCATCTTAGCTATAATATATATTATATATAAATATATATATATATATATATATTTCTCTTCCTTCCTTCTCTCTTTTCTCCTTTTCTCAATTCTAGTTCACTCATTTTGAGCACATTCTTTCCCTTTCACCATATCCATTTCATACTACTGAGTGAAATAAATCAGATCCACAGATGTAAACATTGTATTTTGTCCATAGTGTAAAAATTGTAAGAATAAATAATATTCAAAAGGTACAAGATATATTGTAAAAGTATTACCATTTATGGTAGATTTGTCCCGCTTTAAATCCTGTCAGCATTGCTAAGGTGGTGTAAAATGTTTTATTAAATTGAAGATATAGCTTTCCAATTTACATATCATCTACTGCATTGTTAACAGCTATTTTGGGAGACTTCATCTTACCCAGAATGTGTATTAGTCAGACTTGTTATGACAGGCAAATTAATTATTATAGAATACAATAAAATGTGACACATATGTCAAAATGATAACTAGCAAAGTACCACAAATTTTTTAAAACTAAAACCTTCAATCTGAAATTTGTGCTTTTAACATACAGACAGAAGAGAAATTTCATTACTTTATTCTTTGCTCTAAATTGCCATTTTAAAATACACTTTTACATTTCCAAGCTTTTAATGTTAGAATTCCAAGAAGTATCAATATATTCTAAGAAAAGATTTGAAAAGATTTCTCTAATTAGTGTGCTCTTCCTCCAGCTCTGGTGATGATATAGTATAGCTATTTCAAGGTGATTTTGAAAGAAGATGGACATTGATGCTAATTATAATTTCCCATTACAATAAACACTTCCGGCAATTATAAGAATATAATGTTAGGTATTGCTCATAAAATGTTGGGATAAAAAATACTGGACTTGTTTATAAATAAAGTCAAACAAATAGTAGTCAATGAGGAAAGATGAGAAAGATATGTTATACTAGAACAGCAAAAGGGAATGTTCTACTAATTCTACCTTTATCCACTAAGTTGGTACTGCAGGTCATGTTTGCAATGAACATGCACAATCTCAGGAGCTCCACTTGAATTCCATTTCTCTCAGTGAGTATCTCTTACCATTCTCTTTCTCCTATACTTTGCTTTTTGTCTATGTCTTAAAAAATCTCTGGAGATCCATAGAAAGAAGAACATTTCAAAGTTGAGTATGGGGACATCAATATTTATTGGAATCTGTGACAAACAGTATAATTC